CCAGGCTCGCCTCAGTTTATAGAAATGATCCCAGAAAGATTTGTCTCAAAGGAATCACAACAGAATGTCCTGATGTGCTATTCCCAAGGCAGTGTGTGAACAGCCCATGTTAATCAGGAAGTCAGAGGCTCTAACGGAGGAAAGGAGCCACATCCCTGATTAACTCATTTATCAAATGCTCAGAGCATCTTCTAATTTTTTTCTTTTTTTAAATTTTTTAGTGTTGGCACAATATTGTACATGTCCCCCCTCACCTCCCCCCTCCCCCACCTTTGCCCTCCTTCACACAGCCCCTACCTCTCAAAAGTGCTTTTACATTTATTGTTTTTTTCTGAGAAGAGTCAGTGAGATCATGTCATCCACCATTAGAATTAAATGACAGATAAGAAACCTGAGGTTGAAAAAGATAACAGAGCTACTAAAGATTATATAACTAGGCAGAGTTAGAGCTTGAATTCCTGCTTCCTCACACACACACACACACACACACACACACACACACACAAAAAAAAAAAAAAAAAAAAAAACCCGCCAGTGTTATTTCTGCTATATTATATCAGTGGTCACACCTGTGGACTCTGGAGGGGAATCTCAGGGTTAGGAGGAATTTAATGTCATCCAGGCTAACTATATAATTTAGGGACTTTAAATGTCATGTATGCTAATTATCCAGGAACCCCCTCAGAAAATGCCCTGCCAAGTGATTAGCAGCTCCCACAGCCATACATTTTACCTTTACGTATTTCTGAATATTAATAAATCCTCCCTTATCGTGAGCTCAGATCTAATTTCCTTGTTTTCTACTCATTCATTGGTTATATTTGTGGCAACTAAGCACATACATACATGTGCACACACATTCACACTCACATACACACACACACACACACACACACACACACACAGTCACACACTCACACAACATGAATATTTCTCATGACAGTCTTCCAAATGATTTGCCCCTGAGGAATCATTTTTCCATGCTTAACAACCTTTGCTTCCTTCACTCTTCCTCCAATGAGAAGATTTTCACAATCCTTATTGTCTGGCCTCTGGCCCCTGAGTCTCCCCTCAATGCTCCTCGTAATGACTACGGCAACCTCACTCTGACCTCTGATCTTGGCAAGAGCTCCATGCTGAGGTCTGCTGTCCCTGAAAGAACACGATTAGTCCAGAGTCCTCCCCCTGCTCTCATCTCACAGCAGGATCTGGAATAGCATGAACTAGAACAGAGATTCTGAAACACACTAACCAGGAACTGAAACTGGTTTTTGTACCAGTGACTCAGGAATTGTTGTAAACACGTACCCACCTGGAGAAGACAACTAAAATGACAGCTAATTCTGCAGGAGAGCCAGCTGATGCCTGAGTCCCAGGCACCCTGAGCCGGAGGAAAGGTAATGCTTCACAGGCACCAATTGCTCACCCTCAACACATGGAATAGCTAGAAGAAGCAATGAGTCGTGCTTCAATTATTCCTGCCCAGAAAACACTACAGTTCAGAGAGCCCATTATTCATGGTGGGGCAGCTTAAGCGGCACACCTGAGCAGGAGAATTGCTTTGCTCTGGATCTTGATTCACTTTCTTGAGCTTTATATGTGTTTTTTCCTCCCTTTTGTTTTCATTATATAGGTAATTTGAAGCCAGGCTGGTTGATTAGGCAGAGCAGTTCCTAGAAAGTGCACAGGGCAGCCACAGATCAGAGGGTGAATTCTTTCAGGAACTGCTACTGAGCTGGGCTGGGCTGCAGGAACCATGATAGGAAAAGAGCTAAAAGGGCTGCATGGAAGCTCAGGAAGCCTGAGGCCTCTGGGTACCATTTCTGGTGCCTCTTGGTCCTTATTCTGTACTTGTAGTGACTGAATCTGTGCTTGAGACCAAGTCCTCACCTATAGCCTAGGTCTGGAAACCAGGGTTTTGACATGTTCCTTTTGCTTGGTTACCAGCCCAGTGCTCTTAAATAAGGATGAGCTGCAACATTTGTAACAGCCCTTCCTTTCCCTAGAACAGCGGTCGGCATACTGTGGCTTGTGAGCTACATGTGGCTCTTTGGCCCCTTGAGTGTGGCCCTTCCACAAAATATCATGTACCCTAATTAAATTAATAACAATGTCCCTACCTATATAGTTTAAGTTTAAAAAAATGTGGCTCTCAAAAGAAATTTCAATCGTTGTACTGTTGATATTTGGCTCCGTTGACTAATGAGTTTGCCGACCACTGCCCTAAACCACACAATGGCAGCCAGGACCTTGCTTCCATCTGCCAGACCTTCCTGATGCTGGTGCCCTGCCCGAGCCTCTGCAGGACCTCCGTACCCAGACCCTCCATTGCTAGGTTCTACCTCCTTAGCAAGCCCTCAAACCCTATCCTGTGCCACAGCTCCCTAGCCTACCCTCTGCTTATACTTTTACCTAAGGTCTCACCTCTCTCTATCACGATATACTGCTTCCTTTGCTCACTGTCTGCAGCTGGGTTGACACTAACCTAAGCCCAGGGACCAATTTCACTTTCCAAACTCTTCAGGTCTATCTGATGTTGCCACTTTTCAAAACTTTTTGCTCGAAGCATCATTAGGAGAAAATGGGTGAGAAGATAAGCTTTAGAACAATGATGTGCAGCCTGGGAACTCTGAGCAAGACGAAGAAGGGGGATGCTGTTTCCCACAGCCCCACACACAGGGAGTGAGTGCTCTTTCACCAACCCAACCCCATCCCCTACTTGCCTATCCAGCAACCTGATTTCTGCCACAGTGAGGACTGGGCCAGTTCTATGGACGCCAAAGCAAAGGAACTACATAAAGATTTTAGCTTAAGTGCTTTTGATTTTTCTTTTGGAATATTGATGGCAACTAACAAATTACAGCCAAGTTCTATTTACAGCTCTGAGGGTATTTGAATTCAGGAAAACACACTTGCACTTGGCGATCTTAAGGATATATTTAAATTCACAAAGAACTATTTTTGCCACGTGGTGATTTTTTTCTACAGAAATAATAACTCTCCATTTGCTACTTAATGTGATAAACAATGATACAGCTTCTCTTCCATCTCTACCTCTAAACTTAAATTTAATAGCAATCCTCTGCTGAGGCAGAGAGAACAAATGATCTAGTTGCTCATTCATGGAAAACAGAAAAATTTTCCAGGGACTGTTTCTTTGAGGTGTCTATTTTAAGATATTTAAAGGGGTGTAGGTTACAAGGTGAGCATCCAAACTTTTAAAGAGCAAGAATCAGGAATTTCAATCAAGAGGTTGCTTATCAAATGCTCATACACAGAGTATGTTCCCAAATAGGCTGAGCTTGTCACCAGATTTCATGTTTCACAACCCTATCCTATAGCTGAATGTCAAAGCCACCTTTGCAAAAACAGTATCCTTTTGTTAGACTAAGTAGAAAAATACAGTGAAAAGATTTCTTGCTATTCTCTAAGTAAAAGAAGATCTTTCTCCTAAGAAAAACAATGCTGAGGGAAAAAGCCAAGTATTGTTTTATACAGTCTCCAAATTCCAAAATACCATTTAAAAAAGAATTACACCCACGATTTATGCACGACTCATTAGACAGCAGGGTAAAATGAACTGCTAAATTTTAATTGCATTGAAAGAATAGACTTCATGAAATACACCCCCAACTTCTTGGGATTACAACCTATTCTAGTTAACATCTTCACCATAATGTATGCCTTGTTCAAATAGCCTACCTTGATTAAATTAAAACAGTATTTTTAGTTTTGTGCTTTGATAGGCTCCTAAAAAAATATTTAGTTAAGCAATTTGAAGGCCAAATGCTATCAATATGTAAGCTTTTTATTGTGAAAGTTAATAGGTTTAATCTCATAAAAAAAGATGAAATGTTATCATTTGTTAGAGCATTGATGGATCTTGTATGCTCATTGAATAAGCCAGATGAGAAAGGGGGGGAAAACATGTGATTTTATTCAATTGTGAAGAAAACAAAATACAAAAATGAATGTACAAAAAATAAAAACTCATTTATGCAGACAATAGATTGGTGGTAACCAGAGGAGGATGAGAGAGAGGGTGAAATGGGTAAAGGAAGTCAAAGGTGCAGAGACAGATAGAAACTAGACCTTAGGTGATGAACACCTGAAATTTATGTAATGTTAAAACCAAAGTTCCCTCAATAATTAAATAAATAATAATGGATTATTTGATTTATAGCAAATAGCCTGGCTGGTGCGGCTCAGTGGTTGAGCAGCAACCTGTTCACCAAGAGTTCATGGTTCGATTCCCTGTCAGGGCACATGCCTGGGTTGTGGGCTCAATCTCCACTAGCGGGGCATGCAGGAGGCAACCAGTCAATGATTCTCTCTCATCACTGATGTTTCTCTCTCTCCCCTCTCCCTTCCTCTCTGAAATCAATAAAAACTGTATTTTTAAAAATTGTAGCAAATAATATTTAACATCTGAAAATAAGGACTCAAGATTTATATTTAAAAGACCTTATTCTAAATAGAAAATTTCTTTAAAAAAAAAAAAAAACTTAGCTGTCTGCAAACAAAAATGTTTTTCATAACTGCAGATTTCCTCTTCCCTGCAGGATACCCCGCACCAACAGGCCTGGGAGGGAATGTACCCGCTACAACCCAGCACACACACTTCGTTACCATACTGATTGCAGACAGAAGCTAGGGAAGAACAGTGTTCTTTGCATAATAGATACAATATCTTACATAACATACAATAAGTACAACAGACAACAGCTTGCAGGAGGTACACAGCCTTTCAGGAATTGCAAGCTGCCAGAGCACAGATCTAAAGGAGCCAGGTTCAGAAGGAGCACCTGCTATTGGACTTCACGGCCCATGACAGTAAGCTCTGCCAGGGGTACCTGCCCACTCCCTTTAGCTTTGGAAGGACATCTGCTTATGAATCTCTGATTCTGGCAGCCACCACTGAAGAGGGAGCAGAATTAAGGAGCCAGGCATGCTGCTTGAACTCCAGCATATCCCCTCGATTACTTGCATCACACACATACCTGTAGCCTTTAGCGGAGTTTTCTCTCCTAGCAACAGCTTTAACCTTTTGGCATGGATTTTGCCTTGATAATGGGAATCAGCCACCACCGCTGAGGTAAAAGACATGTTGCAAAGTGTGCAGCACTTGTTCTTATCCACCATATCAGCACCACTTCCCTGTCAGGGGAGGGGGAAAAAAAAGATAACATTAGAGAGAAGCCCAAGTCCTGAGATGTCTTTATTCCCATTCCATTCTGTGGCAGATGAAACTGGCCACAGACTTTCTTATGGAAATGTCTCGTTTTTGCTCTGCAATTTCTTGGTGCTTCAAGATTAAGCATCAAAACTTAACTCAGTTCCTGACTTCACCCCACATTTATTTCGTGGCTGCCACTGCCAGGCACTGGGAATATAGGACAAATGTTCAGATAGGAATTACAAGGAGCAAAAAGAGCCCACAATTAGGCGAGAACATATTGTGTCTGGCTGCCGTGAGGAAAACAGCCTCTAATTGCACCCATTATACTCATTAAAATAGGTAAAATATCAGACTTCGGGTGACCTGAATTATTTAGCAGAAATTATCATTTGACATTCAGCTCTGCCTTTGACCAATTTTAGCAACACCAGGCTCCAGGGCCATGTGTTCAAAGGGAATGCTTAAGATTTATTTAAGGGCTTGAACATTTTTCATAATTAATTTGTGTACCTATAAGCACCGGTGAAGGTGCTGGCAGAATTTTCTATGTGCCTTTGTGTGATTTTTTTCCTTTTCTTCACGAAGGTGATTAAATGCCACACACCCAAAACTGAAATCCAGCTTGATTTTTATTCTTTTGTAAGATTTGATGAAAATGAAACGTGAATCAGAAAAAAAAAAAAAAGAAAGAAAGAAATCCTTTGTCGGCCCATGTGACCAGGCTATTGTGCACACACCATCAATTGCCTATATTTTGCCAGGGGAACATGAATCCATTGGCTCCCCTCCTGCCTCGTTGGAAATTGAGGGTAAAGTGGACTCTCAGATAAGGAGTTAATCTATTCCTTAATGGAACAGCAATAGCAAAGCATCTCTTTGTTCGCGCAGGCCCTGGGTGAGTCTCTGGCCCCACAACAGGACCTTCTCTTATTTCTAGCCAGCCCAGGGAGTGTAATTTAAAATGGCATGGGGAGAAGGATTAGGGTGAGGAAGGGATGCAGGCAGGGAATTATACTATGTATTTTTTTTGCATAATAATAAGATGTCCAGACTGCTGGAGAGAGTATTGCCTTGCAAATTATGTGGCAGAAGAGGAAACCGGTTTGGCTCAGTGGATAGAACATCGGCCTGGGGACTGAAAGGTCCCAGGTTCCATTCAGGTCAAGGGCATGTACCTTGGTTGTGGGCACATCCCCAGTAGGGGGTGTGCAAGAGGCAGCTGATTGATGATTCTCTCTCATCGATGTTTTGAACTCTCTATCCCTCTCCCTTCCTCTCTATAAAAAATCAATAAAATATTTTTTAAAAATTATGTTGCAGAAAACTAACTCTTCCTTCTTTAAGACATTAGTCTGTAATTTCTGTGATAATTAGCTTTAGTTCTTAAAAGGGGTGGTGTGTGGTGGTTGAAGAAGGTGTGAGTGTGTGTGTGGCAGGCGGGGGAGGGGGGAGCATATGTGTTCCAGGGGCTGGCTTGAAGTTCAGGGGAGGAGGGGAAGTGAGAGACTTCAAAAGGGAATCTGTGTGATTTGGAGCTACAAAGGTGTACCTACTGCAATTTATTCTCTTGATCTTAGAATATTAAACATCGGAGTATCACCTTTTATTATAGCTAATGAATCAGATGTGAGGGAATGTATTGCTAGGGGTTTCGGAGTGGCCAGAGAGAGGAAATGGATCCTGTGGAGAGAGAAGGGGCTCCCCCAAATGTCCTCTCCTGGAAAGAGACTCACCTTAGGGCAGGACACCTGGAGAGTCACTGAAAGCTGTGCCCACTGAGCATGACTTTGCTGAGCATTTCAAGTCAAGATGTTTTGAGTTTTTCTCCCATTGGAAAAAAAAAAAGCCATAAACATTTTTATATCCTTGGGTGGTCTACAGTGAAGACTGACTAGGCCAGGCAGGAACGGGGAGAGTTGGCCTCTCCTCACCTACCTCTCCTACCAAGCCCTAGAGCTGACACATAACCCGTGGAGGGGGCAGAGTCCAGGAATGCCCAGAAATAATAAATTGTGGTGTTGCTAAGGGATCAAGACCAGTAAATAAAAAGGTGATAGGCTAGGAGGAATGAAAGATACTTTCCTATTATGTGCTATGTATTAGAAGGTATCAGTGCTACATTTTTTATTTAATAATATTTAAAATAATGGTAGAGAGGTTGTTAAAATGAAAGGAGCAGCTTGAATTACCAATTTTTTATCTATTTATGCCTCAAGGTATGTAATTTTTCTTAAAATGAGACACAAGATCATACGCCAAAGCTTAACCCACCATCGATATCTATGGGAATTTGCACATCCTTGCTGCTACTTCCAATGAAAGTACAGCCAAACGTGGCTGCAGGAAGCAGCCCTTCTCTAACGAAAGGCCAGAAACCCAGAAATAGGGTTTGGTATCATGATGTGAAATATACTCAGAACTAATTTCCAGGGCAAAGAATTGGCCTTAATGTGGATGATTTATGTCATTGATTCATTCAACACATTTTTAAGAAACTACTAAATATTAGATTCCGTACTAGATAAAAATGGCACTGCTCTCTGTTACCAAGGACTTTGAGACCAGGAGACTTGGAGAAGTCAGACCAAAAATAAAAATAAAAGTATTATAATCAAGGAAACAGAGTCTTCTCTTGGACTTACTTCCTCATAATTCTAAGGTTAAAAGACCATTAAGGTAAGTCTATCTGTGTGGAGTTTTTTGTTTTGTTTTTTTTTCCTTCAAACCTTTCCCATGCCTGAAATGCCTTTATTCATCACTTTTTTTTGTCTAATTCAGTCTTTTCAAAATTTGTCTTCATGGAGCAGTTTAGTCATCATTTCCTGAAGGTGAAGATTCTTCTGACCTCTCTACTGTTCTGCAGAAGTAAGCATTGACCTTGTGGTCTTCTATCTGCCCTGATCATAATTCTTTTACCATAGAACACTAATACATTTATTTGTTTCCCTTGTGAGCCTATAAAATTCTTTTAAAATCAAGAAAATAATCTCACTGATACTAAAGCCCCAACACTTAGCACAACGCTTACCAGACAGGGGGACCTTTAGTTGTTTACTGAATGAATGGAGTTCTGAATTGTTTTATGAAGTTAATAATTTGAATGACGTAAGTAAAAAATGAAAACAGATAACACATGGGGGTCTTGTTATTATCCAAATTCTTTCAGACTGACAGAAAGATAACTAAAAAGAAAAAAAAATAAGCATCAATAATTTATTCCTAACCTGAGGGTTTAAGTAAGAAATTTTTCTCCTAAATTTGTTAGTTTCATCATAGTTTTAATATATATTCCTAGATTTCTGCTTACCTCGGCAATCTCATTCCCATTGTCATATAGGAGAATCAAATAATAATAGAAAAGGAGAACCAATCATTATGAAAGTAGATACCATGGGATATAGTTATGCCATAATTATAAATGAGGGACCAAGAAAGTTTGAGTACTTGACAGTAGAAGGCCCATGATGCCTTGAGAAGTTATTATAGGTGGCCACTGAGGCCAATAGGACATGCTTTTATTAAAGGAGCAGATTGTAAATACTACCTCTTCTGACTACTTTAATGATCTTCGTGGGGGGGAAAAAACAATTACTTAGGAAAAAAATCTAAATATAAACCAAGTGCCTGCAAAGAGAAAGAATCTAATTGTGCCTTCTTGGTTATTTAAATTTCCAATTAATGGCTCTTTGCAAATATAGATCATAATATCTATATTGAAGTCTCCAACTATACCCAGAGCAAGGTTGATAGATTGTCCAGGGGAGAACTTCATAAAGTTTGATGAACTGACTTCAATGAATACATTTAAAGTTTCTGGTTTAAAAAGTTGAGAGTGGCCCCAAGGTATCAAGTAAATGAAGAAAAAAACTAAGATTGTCTTAAAATATGGATTTCACACTAGAGGCAATAATTAAGTCAGACTTTTTTAGTGCAATGTCCACATTGCTGAAAAATGTATATATTTGTAGAGTATCCTAAGTCTGCTTAGTCCAAGCATTTTGCAAAGCTAAGAAGTTTTTAGAAGAATTCAATCACAGTGAAAAACCCTAGATGATTCTGCCCAGAAATCCAAGAAGGCCTTTCACTTTAAGATTTCTAAAATTTAATTTAAATAATTGCCTTCATTTTCTTATACTTTAGATAAATATAAACAGTCTAAGAGAGAGACTTTCACTTCCAGTATTTCAGAGTAAGGGCTTCTCTGAAACTGCTCCCCAGCAAACAACCATAACTAGTAAAAATTACTTATTAAAAAATAAACAATTCTTTTAAGTCTCTGGAAATTTTCCTAAGAGCAAATGGCAAATTAAGGAATATTTGTTTAATAAAATATACTAAATTTCAGTAAGAACTTCAGCTACAACTATCTATCTCCCCAGAAACCCTCAGTTCCACATGATGGTTGGGTTGGGTCAAGAAAATAGAGCTCCTTGACCCATCAGCTCCCAATTAAGGGAAAACGTGAAGGGAAGGCATCTAAACTAATCACATTATCTTCGTTTATAAGATGAAAAAGCTAAATTCCTGGTAATGTAGCCATGAAATCAGGTACTCTCTTCTTCCATTCACCCTCATCTATAAGACAGAAGGTCTATCCTAAGCACAGCGGGTTAAGAATATTGTAACTCTGATTGCCCTTGCCTCAGCACACATGCTTATCTGTCCATGTCAGGACAGATAAGCTGAGAAGAACAGAGGCTGCCACCTCTGCCCAGCTAATAAAGCAGAGGTTTCACTCTGAGGGAGTCATGCCACTGTCCCTGTCCCTAGCTTTAGAGCACCAATGAAGAGGTTTTATTTTTCAATAAGACCAGATAAAGAAAAGTAAGTCCATAAGAACAGAGAGCTCATAAACTCTCCCCAAAGGAACTGACTTTATTTGAAATAGCGTCCAGGGGTGCTCTAAAAACCAATGGAGATTTTGATGGTAACTAATTAAGACAAAGCAGATAGCTCCACTAAAGCAATAAGCTAAACC